TGAGTTCGTGAGGTTATGGGTAAACGTTATCTTCGAAAAATTTTGGAATCCGGACGCGTGGGCCCTAGGGCGATTTTGTCAACTTTTCGAACGGGGTTGGGAATTGTTATGAATTGGATTATTATGAGTAATTGAGCATATATTAACGGATTTGCATAATTATTGGCTACTTTTGGAGCATTGTGCATCGATTCGAGTCTTTGGAAAGGCGTGGAATGCCGGTTATCGATCTTCGGAGCGAGGTGAGTCTCCTTTCTAACCTTGTAAGAGGGAATTGTCCCCATAGGTGAGTTAATTGGTTATGTGCTCCTATTTGTGCGGGCTTCGTAGCACGAGGTGACGAGAGTCCGTGCGTAGCTACTATTATGTTTAAGTCCGGGTAGTCTGGGACCCAAAAGCATGCTATACTTGGAATATTCGTAATCTTATTGACCGATTGAATTGCTTAAATCACATCGAATGAGTAAATGAATTTCTAAAAAGATTAAACTTCACTTTCTTGACTTGTAAAAGAGATGTTCACACCCCCTTGAATAATTGCTTCCCTGATGAAGTCTTGACTGACTGTTAAAATGTGTGTTTTTATGTGTACCTGCGGCGTATGTATGATTCGCGAGCAGAGTAATTGTTTAATTATATTTGACCGCGTCGCATGTATGATTCGCGAGCGGGGTAATAGATGCATCTATGGTTCGCGCCATTCGACCATCTGGCAGTGCACAGTTTAAATATTATTGGATCGGGTCGTACGATCTCGATATGATTTGCGCATGCTTGTATTGCTTGCCTTGAAATTATTGAAGTTGATATTGCTTCTTCTCAGCTTGAGAAAATATGTATAAATGATGGAAAAGGAAATTTGGAAATTTCGCATAAAAGAAAGAATTGTTTACTTGCTTCGCTCTATTGATTTACAATCATATTTATATAAATCCTCGAATTGTCATATTATTGATGTTATATTATTGGACCACTAGTAAGTGTCGAAGTCGATCTCTCGTCTCTAACTTCTTTGAGATTAGGTGGGATACTTACTGGGTACACGTTGTTTTCGTACTCATACTACACTTGTTGTGCATTTTGTTGCACAGGTACAGATATTTCTAGCGGCTTACTGGGCATAGCAGCATGAATGATACGGAGGCTAGGTGAGCTACATTTCTCGAGGCAACCCGCAGCCAGTGTAGTCTCTTTCAGCATATTATATTTACTTCTTTCCAATTTGTATTCCGGACAGTGATTGTACTTTATTCGATCCTCTTAGTAATTGCTCATGCACTTGTGACACCGGGTTCTAGGATGTCTATGCGAGTATCCAGTATTTGAAATTGTTAAAGATATTTTTATTTTATTTAGTGGAACTTATTCTTTATTGTTTAAATATATAAAAGAAGTAAATTCAGAGTTATCTAAAACAAGAAGTTGCTAACTAATTAGTGTTGGCGTGCCTGACAATGGTGTCCGGCACCATCACGACCCTTAGTGGATTTTGGGTCGTGACAACATGGTATCAGAGCACTAGGTTCCCTTAGGTCTCACGAGTCATGAGCAAGTCTAGTAGAGTCTCGTGGATCGGTACGGAGACGTCTGTACTTATCTTCGGGAGGCTACAGGGCTGTTAGGATCACTTCCCTTCTTGATTTCCTCATCGTGCGATTTGATTCCTTTGAGGCTTATGCCTTGTTTCCTTCCCAATCGATCTTATGCGACGCGAAGCGCTTATTATAAACCAAGAATTGAGAAATTTTAAAGGTACTACAAAGATGGTACGGGATGCTTCTCCCGGCGTAGTTGATTTGACTATTGTCGTCGCCTTGTGGAAGGGTATTCTATCGTTCCAGCTCAGTAGCTGTACTTCTGAGTGCTCTTAGGCTAGGCACAAGTTGCCATGATGCTTATGAACGATTGTCGCATTGTATTGATGTGATGTTAGGATGCTTGCCTACGTGTCGGGCCAGTGAATGACTTGAAAGGAGGTGTACTCAGTGTATGATTCTGAGATTCGACATTTCATTTCCGGCGGAGGAAAAGCAATTGGCCTATGAATGTCCAAATTTGGATCGATGGAATAACGAGACTTGGTGTTTTCAAGTGTGGTGAAATTTTTATCTATGGCGCGGTGTCGTCGTCCTCGATTGTCTGTGTTAAGTTCGCCGGTGTTATGGTCTTCTGCAATTCGCCTTTGGGGTAAGATATTGTGAAATAATATTGGAGAAATGATTGTTAGATATCGCGGGGTGCGGTGGTTCAGGATTGAATCGGTGTTTCTAATGTTGACAGCTCGAGAAAGACGACCTTCGGAAAGGTTTAAAGTTGGTACCGATTTGTGGGTTCAAGTGCTACAAAGATAGATTTTATTTAAGGCAACAACTGAGCAGCAAAGGATGAGGAAGGACATGTAGGGAGTGTCAGGCGGCGGTTAACATTTCTAGAAGGCCAGGTATAAGAAGTGAAGGTCGAGTAGTTGATTAAAGGAGTGAGTTCCACCAAAGTGGGAGAGTGGCGGAGATGCATATGGGTTTCGTGATAGGATGACCACACACCATAAGGAAAGTTTTGAATGATTTGGGGATTTTAGCGGACGATGATTGGGTCTATGGATTTAATTTGAAGTATGGGCTATTACGCAGCGGGAGAATTGATATAACGGAAAAGAGATGCTTGAAATGAAGAAGGATACAACATAACTTTGAATTGGAAGGATGTTGCCGCACATTTAATTGAAGTCCACGAGGGGTAAATGGTCTTGTACAGCTAGAGAGTGAGCTCGAACTCAGGTGGGTTATCTCCAGTGAGTAGATCGGCGGTCGCATGGTTGGCAAAGCTTCTGCAAAGAATTCTATTGGCTATACAGCAAAAAGATCGGCCGTGCGAATGCGGTTGATGATTCAGAGTATAAAAGGGAGTTTTACAGAAAGATTCCGAGAATTTTGGCGGTTGATTGCACAAGGTTATGTCAATAAGAGATAAAGAATCCTGGGGAATTCCAGAGTTGTGTAATAGTGGACTCAAGCTAAGTGGGAGAGTCCTACCGCCTGTGATTGGGTTGCATGGTTAACTACTTGCGAGGTTTATGGTTATTAGCATATTGATGGGTTAATTCAGCTACGGGAAAAGAACATAAGTGGTAATTTGAGCAAAGGAATTATTAAAGGTGTGCTATGGTTGGCCTTAGTGGCTCATGTACAGACTTGGGGAAGGATTCAGGATTTATGCCTTGTATAGGTGCAGGTTTCAAGGGAAGTGATTCTGCCGGGTGCTTTGTCGAGAGGGTATTCATGTGCTAGAAGATTTATGGAGTTGATTATATACGGGTCCAAGCCAGAGCGGGTGGCTCTCAACAACGGTCCTAGTGGATTCAAAGGGGTAAAGTGTGGTGCCTAATGATTTCGAGCCTATAGGTACGGGTAAGAAGCAGGCTTTGTAGCAGCTTATGAGAAGAGGCCCAGAATGTTCTATGATGTTTTGACTTGCAGTGTAGCATTTGGGGAGGTATGAAATGGTTCGTGGGATTTGAGACAACATGGTCCCGTGATTCAAGGTCACTCGGGATGAGTGCGGATGGAGTGTGTTATGTGTTGAATGGAGTTATTATTATTTCTAAGGCAATCAAGGATAAATTGGAAGAAGAAGATTGGTTAGCCATAGTTGAATTGGCATATTAGTGTTAGTGATCAGTTCCTTCAGCGCGATCAAGTTAAGCAAGTGATTTTTGACGGTACGTGTGAGGCTTGTCGACGGCCGTAATTGATGTTATTCAGAAGTATCTTACTGTTACAACCTGTTATATGTGGGCGGACCCCGGAAGGGCTATGGTGGCTTAGACCACTACTTAGAGATTTGCATATTCTATGATTATGAGAATTCACTCGTGTGTTGCGATGGTTCTCTCGGAATGAGTTAAGTAAAAAGTTTTTATACGATGAAGTGTTAACCCATTAGTGGTTCCGGAGTCATGATGAAATCGTGTTCTATTGGTATGTAGTCACCTGATTGATTGAAGAGTTAAACCAAGTATGAAGATTGTGGTGATGTTGTTAAATTGAGAATTGATGCCGGGAGGGCACTCGGTTTATTGGGTTGTAGACTGTGGAGGATTACTCCGGTTATGATGGTTATTCTGGTGTGTTATGAGAAAAAGGGAGTTATTATGGACCTTTGAAAGGTTATTAGCCTAGTTCAGTGCGATCAGAATCGGCATGAGACCTGTGGATGGATATAAATGTCAATATGTGCTCTATATCAGGCAAGATGTGTTCATTTCAGCAATGTGCTCCTTATGGGAGAGTAGTCGGGGTGTTATTTCGTCGTCAGCTATTTCATGTAATGATATATTGCGCCGCGTAAGTTGTGAGACGGCTTGGTTAATTTCTTATGTGTTAAGGTTCCACGTAGAGAGGATGTTATATGAGCAGAATGGCTCTTGAGATTCAGATCGTATATCGCACCTCTGTTGTGCTTGGATTTTGTAGCTTATAGCGCTATATGTCTCCCCAGGGATGGTATCATGCACTTAGCATGCTTATGACCGATATTCGGTATTTTGTTGTAATGAGCAATCTAGCTCGGTGTGTATCTCCTTATGTGAATTTTATGTGTGGATCGGGTGGCACGCCGCCATGGGTATGTTGTTTGGATCGGGTTGCGCGCCGTAACATCGGGATGTTGAGTACAGTTCCTTATATCCGTTTTTATGTGTTTTGTTTCCTATTTTCCTGAGGAGAACTCGTATTAGCTGTGTGAGTTGAGTAGTCCCCTCCATAGTTCGTGTTCCTTATGTATCATGTTCGAATTGGTAGCCTATTGGCACATTGTGGCAGCGTATGAGATTTTGATCATGACTGGGGTGGCTTGTTGCCTGAGCAGTTTGTACTGGGTATGACAAGGTTATTGGATCTAGGATCNCTGACATTAAGCTTAGGCAGTTGCAGGATTTGATTAGGATAAAGTATGGTGTGTATGTGGGAAAATCCATATGTGTTAGGGCTAAACATCAGGTCATGGGTCAGTATCTTGGTGATTACAAGAAGGAGTTTGCTAGAATATATGATTATGCTGACCAGTTGAGGTATACAAATCCTGGCAGCACTGTTGTTGTGAAGACCTCCAAGGAGACAATACCTGGTAAGGAGGTGTTTGTGGGTATCTATATTTGTCTACATGCTTGCAAAGTTGGTTGGTTGGAAGGGTGTAGAAATGTTATTGGCTTTGATGGAGCATTTCTGAAGGGTGTGTGTAAGGGTGAGCTACTATCATGCATTGCTAAAGATGGTAACAACCAAATGTACCCTGTTGCCTGGGCAGTGGTGGAAAAGGAGACAAAGCACACATGGTCATGGTTTTTTAGGTGCCTGATGCATGATCTGCAGCTCACTGAATCCCAAGGTGAGGGGCTGACCATCATTTCTGATATGCAGAAGGTATATACTTCACCCATGTTCTTCCTTTAGTTACTTGTCTACTTTATATATGTTTCTGCTATTCTAATTGTTTTTCTTGTTGCTTAAGGGACTTGTTGCATCTGTTTCTGAGTTGTTACCAAATGCTGAGCACAGAATGTGTGCAAGACACATATGGAGCAACTGGAAACAAAAGTGGAAAGGAGAGGAAAGAAGGAAGAAGTTTTGGGCCTGTGCAAGGGCTTCATTTGAAGCATATTTGAAGGCTAAGATAGATGAGCTGGCAGAATTAGGTGATAGTAAGATCATTGAGGATTTGCTGAGATACCCAAAACAATGTTGGTGTAGAGCATTCTTCAAAGATTGGAGTAAATGTGATTCTGTGGAGAACAACATGTGTGAGACGTTTAACAGTTGGATCTTGTCTGCTAGGCACAAGTCTATCATAACCATGTTAGAAGAGATTAAAGTGAAGGTGATAGAGCGGATGATTACCATGAGAGAATTTGCAACAAGGTGCATTTCTGATGTATCTCTTATGGCAATGGGTTACATAGAGGAAGCTGTTAAGCATGAATTTAAATGGAATGGGGATACTGGGTATGAGATACAACATGGGATTTACAAACATATTGTTGACTTCTCCAACAATACGTGCACATGTAGATCATGGCAGCTCAAAGGAATACCATGCTCCCATGCAATATGTGCAATGTTTTTTAAGAGATTTGAGCCTGCTAACTATGTAACCCACTGGTACAGGAAAGAAACATACCTGAAGGCTTTTAGTTGTTACATACAACCAGTAACCAACATGGAGATGCGGCCATCAACACAGAATCCAACTGTTGAGCCTCCTATAATTACCAAGATGCCTGGTAGACCTAAGAAAAATAAAAAAAATAACTCAAGATGAACCTAAAAAGAAGTTTGGTAATAGATCAGGAAAGGGACACCAATGACATGCTCTAATTGTAAGACAATAGGACCCATTTTTTTACCGTTGGGCGTTGGGAAGGGGGCTCTCACGCTCCTAAATGTCGTGAGACTCACGCAGCAGGATGACTAGGACCAACTGACACCACATGGGATAGGTCAACGGTCAAATGTTTTTATTAGTTATAGGTTTCACAAGTTTGAGTGTTTAAATGGGAAAGACGATGTGATGGCCCAAAAGGTCATCACTTGCTTTTAAATTAAATTCTGTATTTCTGAGGCCTTAAAACCCTCTTTTATCTTTACCTCGATTTGCATGCGCAGTCCGGGCGTGTAGCCGGAGAGCTGTTATGTGAAAAATCTGTGAAATACTGAAATTTTGACTTAAAATGCATTTAAGTTGACTTTGGTCAACATTTTGGGTAAATGGACCCGGACCCGTGGTTTGATGGTCTCGGAGGGTCCGTAAAAAAATATGGGACTTGGGCGTATGCCCAGACTCAAATTCCGAGGTCCCAAGCCCGAGAAATGAATTTTTAAAGAAAATTGTTTTCTGAAATTGTTTAAAGGATTTTGAAATGAAATTTGATTAGAACATGATGGCATCGGGCCCGTATTTTGGTTCCGGCGCCCTGTATGGGTCTTATATATGATTTAAGATGATTCTGTGAAATTTGGTGAAAAACGGAATTCATTTGACGTGATTCGGACTTAAAATGGAAAATTTGATGCTTTATGAAGTTTGAGAAAAATTCTTTGATTTTGAAGTTTAATTCGTTGTTTGAGAGGTTATTTTGGCGATTTGATCGCACGGGTAAGTTTGTATGATGTTGTTTAGTTAGTACGTGTGTTTGGTTAGGAGCCCCGAGGGCTCGGGTGTATTTCGGATGTGTTTCGGGAAGTTTTGGACTTAAGAAAAGTTGCAGAAACAGTTGTTCTGGTGTAACTGCAGATGCGGACTCGCAGGTGCGAGAAGTACATCGCAGGTGCGGAATTCTTCGCAGATGCGGTTCCGTAGGAGCGGGTCCTCTCTCGCAGGTGCGGCTCCAGCGGGGCCTAGCCATTACCGCACAAGCGACACTTTTTCCGCACATGCGGTTGCGCAGATGCGACCCCTGAGCCGCAGATGCGGAAGTCGGGCAGTGAGTCTTTTTAAAAACATAACTTCAGCGATTTTCTTTCAAACTTTCACAAAAAATAGAAGAACAAGGGCGATTTTCTCAAGAGATTTTCTTCCCAAATCACAAGTAAGCACTCACTAACTGATTTCTTTCAATTATCTAATGTTTTTCATCAACTTTTATCAATAATCTTAGGGTTTTAATGGTAGAAAATTGGGGAATTGGGTAGAGTTAGGGCTTTTTGATTATTTGGGAATTTGACCTCGTTTTGGGGTCGGATTTCAAAACAAATGATATATTCGGGCTCGTGGGTGAATGGGTGATTGGGTTTTGGTCCGAACCTCGTGTTTTGACTAAGCGGGCCGGGTCAATTTTTGGGTTTTTGGGAAGAATGATTAAAAAGCTATAATTGAGCATTGGAATTGGATTGTTTAGCATTTATTGATGTTATTAAGTCGATTACGTATAGATACGATTGTGTTGGAGCCAAATTCGAAAGGAAAAGTGGTATTTGAGGATTGAGTTGGCCGTCGAAGTTTGAGGTAAGTGTTAGGTCTAACCTTTGCTTGAGGGATTAGGAGTTGTGTCCTATTTGCTAATTGCTTCTTGTTGAGTACGACGTATAGGCATGGTGACGAGTATCTATACGTTGGTGTCGAGCATGACCGTGAGTCTTGAATTGATAGTTATTGTGTTCTTAAATGTTACTACGGATGCTATAATTGATGGTTCACGGTATTGAGCAAAGATTTAGTTTATTTTCGTGGAATTTATTTATGATTGAGTGTTGGTACTAATTGAGCTGAGTAAGAGTTGAGTTAGGATTGGTTATAGTTGATTCTCCCTTGCCGGAATATTTGTCTTGATATTGTTGTTCCCTTGCCGGGAAGTTATTATATTGCTTTGTTCCCTTGACGGGAAGTTATTATATTGCTTTGTCCCTTTGCCGGGATTCCTTGTGATTTTATGTGGGCATATAAATGGGATCGGGTGGTACGCCTACCACGAGATATGATGAAATGGGATCAGGTGGTACGCCAACCACGAGATATGATGAAATGGGATCGGGTGGTACGCCTACTACGAGATATGATGAAATGGGATCGAGTGGTACGCCTACCACGAGATATAATGAAATGGGATCGGGTGGTACGCCTACCACGAGATATGATGAAATGGGAGCGGGTGGTACGCCTACCACAAGATATGATAAATGGGATCGGGTTGCACGCCTGCAACGAGATGTGAACCGAAAGTGTAAATTGCCTTTGTTTTCCTTATCCTTGATAGAAGTTGAATTTTTTTAGTTTCTTGATAATTCTCTTGAGATTCTGTTTTATCTGTTATTCCCCGAAGCATGTTTCCCCTTCCCAGCTTTAAATTATTTGTTCTAGTTTATTTTCCATTGTATATATATATATATATATATATATATATATATATATAAAACTGCACAGGTTTATCTGGAGTCTAGTCCTAGCCTCGTCACTACCTCGTCGGGGTTAGGCCAGGCACTTACCAGCACATGGGTCGGTTGTGCGGATTCTACATTCTGCACTCTGTGCAGATACCGGAGCAGTATTGGGACAGCAGCAGTAGCTTGGGAGCCAGCCTTCAGTCCACAGAGATCCCGAGGTAGTCCTGCAGGCGTTCGCAGGCCCGGCGTCTCTTCTATCTACTATTATGTTCTGTTATCACTTGTATCCGAGACAGACTGAGTTTCTTTCTTTCAGATATTTGTATGTAGTAATCATAGACAGTCCGTGAATGTTGTGACACCGATTTCTGGGTAGAGACATATGTTGGCTATTCGTATCGATTTTGGTATTATATTTATCTAAGTCTTCCGCTTAATTTCATCTTTCGCTACTGTTTAAATGTTGATCACCTGTTATTACAAGTAGTTAAAAGTGTCAAAAATGAAAAGGTTAAAGATTTCTAAATTTCGTGGCTTGTCTAACTTCTACGAGTAGGCGCCATCACGACTCCCGAGGGTGGAAAATTCGGGTCGTGACAGACGAAAGTTTGTGTATCGGCTTTCAAAAGCCATGCAAGTTTAAGTGGCCAGGAAGCCATTTCGCCTTCAAAAAGAGATTATTTTTGAACAAACTAAAAATAAAATAGGATAATACAAACTAGTGTTTACCCTCAAATATGAGTAACAATTAAATTTGTACGTGATTTATTATTCAATACGAATGATTTAAGAACAGCAAATAATTAAATTAAAGAGAGACTAAACGATCAAACCAATCGTGATGGAATAATCAGGCCCGATATTGAGTTGAATGCTAGAAACTGGCTCCGATAGAGCCCTCTATATGAGCTCGGTTGCACTTAAATAAGAGAGTAACTGAAGAAGACTTTTGATAATAACTAGAATACAAAAATTACCTTTTATTGATTTGATATGCATGTCAACAGTTGTTTAAAATGAATAAGTTCTCTCCTTTATATAGTAGGGGAATTTCAATCCTAGTACAAGTCTAAATAAGGTAAAAATCTTCTTTTTTGGTAAATGTTAATCCACAGTTGATATCGGACGGAATTAGCGCAGTAATATCCGGTTGAGGGTGAATATTACAGCTCCTTGCTCGTCATGCTTAACCGTTTCTCTTTCTCCTTGGTCTCGAAATTTTACTTGGTCCGGATTCGTTGTTTAGCCGTACCCCATCCCAGATGTACCGTTCGTCCACCGAGCTCTGAAACGAGGGACCATTTGGCTTCGCTCAAGGCTGCATTAGATCATGCTCCCCTCTCGTTTTTTTGTTGGGAAATCGGGGATAACATTATCCCCGATTTTACCGTACACAACTAGAACTGAAGGACTATTTGTTTTGAAAAGGTTCAACTATTTGAAATTATAGTTTACAAATAAGAACGCCGTGGGCATTTCCAAATGAATAGGAAAATAAAAGCATTATAAAAATCACAACAGTCACCTTTTGATGACTCTGGTTAACTATTCCTAGAGTAAGGTAATAAATCTTTTGAGAAAGTATTTTACACGCCTCAAGCATTTTTCCGTGTTCAAATATTTTTCATTTTCCTTCTTTTACTGTCAAATTTTTTTATTTTTCTAATAGAATGAAGAGGCATGTCGCATCAAATAGCAAGTAGATAAATAGCTTCCATAAAAGAGTTCAAGCACACAAGGGACAGAGAGCCAACTAGTAGCAATTATAACACAACAAGGTGAAACTCTCCTAACAAAAAAAACGTTTCATGGGGAAGACTGGAGGGAGTTCTTGGTTAGGCTTAATGAAGAAAGCTTTTAGATCACCTGTGAAAGAGAATGATATGAGAAACAGTAGAAGAAGAGAAGAGGCTGAGCAAGAGGAAGAAGAAGAAAAGGTAACAAGTTTAGATTAACACTGCACCTTTCCATGTTACTATGTGAAGCATGCAATAAGATGTTTTTTGAGTTCAATTAAATTCTAAATTTACTAATTTATTGTTTGCAGAAGAGGGGAAAACGGCGATGGATCTTCCGACCGAAGCCTACGATTCATGAAACAACAATTCATCACAATCAAGAAGAAAACACTGCCACCATCACAGAAAATTCATTGCCAGAGAATGCTGATTTGAAGCAAAGACGAGCAATTGAAGTAGCAATGGCTACTACAGCGGCTGCACAAGCGGCTGTGGACATAATTAGAGAACAGCGTGCCATTCTTAACATTCAGACAGCATTCAGAGGGTACTTGGTATGCAGTCTTGCTGAAAATTATCACATTTTTAAGTAATTACTTCTGCTTATTATGAACAATTACTTATAATTATTATTTGATTAAGTTATATGCACTAATAGTGTAAAATTATTTACACAATAAGTATCCTGATTATTTGTATAAAT